GTTTAAGAGTTTTTAAGAGTTTAAGAGTTTTAAGAGTTTTTAAGAGTTTTAGCCAAATGCTTTATAATATAGTATAGATATGTGACTTGAGAGAGTGTTTGGGGCAGGTGGAACTGGATGATATTAAACAGCCATTTTTCATCCTGCACCAAATCCTTCAGTCTCTCTTCTGCATCTACCAAACATCCCATTAAACTTCTTGATGGCATCATTATTAAACAAACCATCTACTATCTCATTCTATTAGTACTGAAATCACCATCAGTTTTTTTCTGTTTCTGCCACTACCTGACACTACAATTAACAGGAATTGTGTTGCTCTTTTTACTGATTTAGTTGCTAGTTGTTGTGTTATCCTATTTCGCTCTAATGCAAAATAATTTCTAGCAAAGAAAAGCTTGGAGGGGGATGCCACAAGACCATATACCTTCGGCCTCAAACATCGATTAGAAAAAATATGAACTATTTTAGATTGTATATAAACAAAATGTTACTAGATAAGAACTACCAGTCAAAAGTGAACTCTAGTTGTGGGACAGAGAGAGCACCATATAGATTTTAGATAGACGTAGGCTTCAAATGATTATTGGGAAGTAGACAAAAAGAATACCTGTGCTGTATTCCTGAGGTTGTAGCTGCTTCGCCCGGGCCTTGTCCACCAACTCTTTCCACTTTCTCGACAATGAATAAATATCAACCTTAAACAAACAATAGAATATAAAAGTATATAAACATGCCCCAGATAAAGGTATCCATCAAATAAGCTAAGACTGCCCTAACAAATTATAAAAGTTCACCTTATCAGCATTCTGCAGCACAGGAGTAATCAACCCACCATCTATGGCCACTGCAACTGCAATGTTTATACTACTGTTGTATGTAAAGCTCTTTCCATCTCTACAACTTGAATTCACAACAGGGTGTTTAGCCAATGCAAGCGCCGTGGCCTTGGCTAACAGTGCTGTCATAGTCACTCCCTTCGGCTTAATCTACAAATTAACACAGGTAGATGATTATAGTAAAACATATACAATGATAGAAGCATGAAAAACAAATGCTAACAGAAAAGCTTCACTTCATACTAAGTTTTTACATGACCTGTAGATCATCGTGAGAAAAATATATGGTTGGAATGAGTGAACCTAAAACCCTGTTTCAACCCCGCACAATCCTAGTGGTCCAGAGCTCCTTCGCTTTGTGAAGGTTGAAGCCGATCATTTGTATGGGCTTTCATTTGCTATTAGCAAACAGGTCATTTTCATGATCCAACAACCTTCTGGGCAAAAGGAGCAACCGGCTTGCTTGTAGAATTCTACATTTCTACACTCTTTTCTTTTGAATAAAAACATACATTCAGCAAGTAATAAACGTCAAGATATCATTTTCAACTAGTTCATGTAAACTCCAAAACATACAGATTCATTCAAACAACATGGAAATGAACAGCCAATCACATTTGGACAATAACAGTTGATCAAAAGTTTACCTTTTTATAGAGAGCATCAAGGGCATCAGTGGTAATTGTATACCCCACTCTGAATGTAGGCACTCCAAGACTCTCAACCATGTTCCTACTGACAGCACCCTGCATTGTAGTAAATGGAACAACAGAACCCAACTCAATCCCTGGAGCCACAAACAGTTGCTTAGTTGGCTCAGCCACTGCAGCAGCAGCAGCAGCAACAGCCCCAGAAACAACTGCAGCCTCTACATCTTTGGCAACAATCCTTCCCATCGGTCCACTACCAACCACACCACTCAAATCAACATTCAATTCCTTAGCAAGCTTTTTCGCATAGGGAGATGCCACAATCCTCTTCCCTCCACCAGAAGCCGGGTGTGTTGAAACCACTGCCGTCACCATAGCCGGCTTCACTACAGTTGCAACAGGGAYGGAATCWGGTATTTTTGTTTCTACTGGAGGAGGCGATGAGGGAGCAGCAGATGAGGATGAGGAAGAAGATTGTTCTTTCGCCTTGGATGTAGCTTGAGCAATTTCATCTTCGGTTTCGGCAAGGAGGGCAATAGCAGAGCCGACGGCAGCAACTCCACCTTCTTCAACCATGATGGCAGCCAAGTAGCCGTCGTAAAATGTCTCAACATCCATGTCAGCTTTATCAGATTCTACAACGACAACTGACTCGCCTTTAGAGAGCTTGTCACCTTCGGACTTCACCCAAGAGACGATCTTTCCTTCAGTCATGGTAGAACTCAATGCCGGCATGAAGATCTCTCGGATCTTGGCTTGAATTTGAGGTTTTCGGGAGGTAGGTTGAGTGAGTGAAGGCATAGATTGACGGCGGAGGCAGGGAGAAGTCGGAATGAAGGAGTTGAGGAGTTGAGCCATCGTTGATTGTTTTGATCGATTTCTTAAAGACTGTAGACACGGGCAAATCCAGGATTTTTGTTAGTGGTGGCACAAAAATTAATTATTAAATAATATAAAATTTGATTATGAAATAAAAATAAAAATTCCTTATAAGATAATTACAGGGGATCAGTTTTTGTCCATTTTATATCGATTTTCAAGCTCGTTGCATCGTGCTTTTTGTGAAATGACATAGGCAAGGAAGTTTGCGACATTTCGTCACCAAATACGATAGAGAACTCTAAGAAATCAGTTCCAAACAGAAAGCTTATATTCGGCTAGATTCACAGAAAAGCTTATATTCAAACAAAATAAGCAATAAAGTATTTAACACGACTTAACATCAGCATTCAGCAGCAAACCAAATGAATAAGCAATAGATTCGGCAGCAAATCATATTGGATAAATACAGCAGTAAATCAGATTAAATAACTACATCAGCAGAAATTTTGAACAACTACAATAACAAATCAGATTAATAACTGCAACTACAGCAGCAAATCAGATTAAATAACTAAAACTACAGCAGCAAAACAGAAAGGTTCAACACAATGAAATGCTTAATTCGGGCTCAAATAATGAAACTATTAAACATATATGAGCACTTATAAGAGTTAGGCGATGTTTGGTTTGCAAAATGTGTTTTGAAGGAATGGAATTTGTCAAAGAAAATGGAATGCAACCTGTCAAATGAAAATGAATTGGAATTTGTCTGTTTGGTTTATAAGATATTGGAATGGAATAATGAAAAATGACAAAAATACTCTTTTTTTGAATTCTTTTTAATTTTTTTCAAAGTATAAATATTAATAAAATTAACATTTAATATGAAAAAAAAATGTAAATTACCATTTATTAGATCCATATATAAGCATAAAACGTGTAAAAAATTTATATAATCATAAACAAAACTGTTCATAATGTTGCCACATCAAATACATACATAAATATTTTAACCAAACCATTCTTACACATGGCAAGAGGTTGCGAAACCATAATCCACGCAATAAGTACCAAAAAGTATTGTTCATACACATTTATAAACTGATTATTGGTCTAACATAAACCAAAGATATTGTTTTCAAAGCAAACCGGTCATTGGTCCAACATAAACTATACCTAAAAATAAGTACCAAAGATGGGTACTCCAAGAAATACTTACCACCAACCATAAAAACAAACGGTCATTTGCTATTTTATGTTACTTATGTGTCAATTATAAAACATTAATAATTACATATACCTTGAACCATTTCCATCTTCCATTGGTATAGTCCTCAAAAACAAGTTCAGGTTTCTTAAGCAAATGTGGATGTAATCTTATGACGCGATGCAAACTCTCCTAAAAAATCTACTAATGGTTGCCCCTAAATGATGAAAACGACATGTGACACCCGATTCTTGACATTATGAGCAATAATGTGAAAGAAAATGACAATTTGTTCATCAATACCCATATTACTACTTGCTTGTAATCCTCCTAATGTTTAAAGCGTATGATGAGGAACCAGATCAATCCTCGATCGATAATACGAGCGGCGTAAAGAGTGAATGAACTTAGATTGAATCGCAATCACCCAAGGTTCTAATATTGAAATCTCGATCAATATTAGTTGTTTTCAATCGAAAGAAAACTTGGTTCACACAAAGTGTAATTGTTATTTTTCTCCAAGATGATTAAGAAACAAGACTATGGTCCTATTTAAAGACTCCCAGCTATCAGATAAGGATAGTTTTCTTAGACCTACTTAAACTAGGAAACCTTAAAAAACTCTGAATAAAAATAAAAGAACTCCTAACAATAATCAAAACCATAAATAAGAATCCATCACCCAACTATGCTTCGTTGACCCATGAGAAGAAAGTACCCTTGCTGTCCGATTTTAACCCGAAATGTCACTCATTAGAGAGATGGATTCGTATGATGCAGCATCAAACTTATCAATAAAATTCGTCGGTCAGGGACGGGTAGTCCTAAGTTGTGAAGTTTCAACATCATGTTCATTCCCTCCGTCTTGAAAAGAATTTGTCCTCAAATTTCCATCATCCGAATAGGGAGACAAACCTTTCTTTGTGAAGCTAAGCCAAACAAGATCTCCTGGTTGCAATTCCGATTGGCGCCTATTTCTGTTTGCTCTTTCTTTGTATTTGGAATTCATCTTTTCAATCTGCTTTCTCACTTGTCCACAAGTCTTGAAAAATGTCTCTTGCCTGGCTTTAGCATCGAAGTTTAGGATGTCCTTGCAAGGGATAGTGATCAAAGCAATAGGAACAAACAGGTTAACTCTGTATACTACCTCAAAAGGGGAAGTCTCCGTTGTCGAAGAAGGTGCCTGTTATAAGTAAATTCAGCATGTGCCAACTTTACATCCTAATCCTTGGTAGTTTGGCTTACCAATCCTCGGAGAAGTGTACCCAATGTCTGGTTTGTTACTTGCAGACTGTGGGTGATGTGAGGTACTAAATAGCAATTTCATCCCAACGAACTTCCATAGAGTTCAGCAAAAATGACATAGAAATTTGGTATCCCTATCAGACAGTACTTTTGGGAATTCCATGAAGTTGAACGATCTCTTGGTGTCCCTATAAGAATTCTGAACTTCCGAATTCTTATGCAGTTTCAATATTGAACTTGTTCTTAATGTGGAACTCGTTCTTTTTACTTCAGCTTAATGGGAGTTTGAGGTAGTGTTCTTGGAAATGTCATGGGGGTCTCACATTGACAAAATTGTTTGTACATACAACAAGGTTACAAATAGTGTATGGTACTAGCACATCAAGCAAAAGAAAGATGGCTGCAAGAAATCAATGGTCACAATGTAAGATGATAATGTCAGATACTCTCCCAAACTCCCACTCAAGGAATTACAAAGAAAACAGAAAACCCCCCAAACTAACCAACCTTCTCTACATAACACCCTCCAACCACTTGACCTAGTTCAATTACATAACTACCCTTATTCCTTTACTTATTAGTTATTCTATCTTCCCTTAGTTTTGTATACAAGAAACTGTCATATGATTGTTCAAGAATATGTCATATATCTTAAAATTAAATTGGCCAAATTTCCATAGAAATCTTGGTCAATTATTTGGAATCTAATAGTACATATAATATGTTTATATATTAAGAAATCATTTAGAGGTTGATGCATCACACAGATGACAGAATCTTTATATCATGGAACTCACAACGTGGTATATTATTTTCATACTCATATCATGTTCATAATATATAGAATGAATGTTGAACACATGCTTTTAACAAATTGCCTAACGAGTATGACAATCTCAAGCAATTATACAAGACTCAAAAGGAGCAGTGGACTGTGAATGATTGATCTCACTCTGTGTTGAGATTGAGGATGAATCTAGTAAAAAGGGAAAACAAGTTGCTCCAAATCTGATTACCAAGACAAAATTCAAGAATTGGCACAAGGTTGGTACTTCTAAGATCACTCAAAAGAATGATAACAACAAAGATAAAGGGCAAGTCCGTTAAACCTGTTATGAAATGCTTCTTTTGTAAGAAGGCTGATCATTTTAAGAAAGATTGTGAGGGGTTTAAGGCTACCTCAATGAGAAAGGTAATTTATTTTCAAAAAGGGTTTTAATAATGAGTCAAATTCTTTTTAGCATAAAAATTCTTGGTGGTTTGATATCGGGTCACCCATTCATGTTATCAATTCCTTGCGGGGATTATCAAGCCTAACAATCCCAAACAAGTTTCAGACTAGGGTGTTCACTAATAATGGTCAAAACATTGTTATATTATATTCCTCTAGTAGAATTTTGAGACGTTTAAGCAACCGGGGAGAATTTCAGACGAAGGTGACCAAATTGGAAGGCAACGTGTAAGCAAGAAAGAATCAAAGAATGCAAAATATTTTCTACCTTTTTTTTCATCTATAATGAAAGACATTTCCATTTCTTTTTATCATCTAAGCAGTAAGCAAGAAACTGAGAAAGAATACCTGATTTAGGAGGCAGGAGTAGATCGATTATGGGCTTACAGTTCAGGAGCAGTCGAGCAAATTGATCGATTTAGGGGAGCAGTCAGCAGATCGATCGTGGGTGTTAGCAGATTGATTTAGAAATTACGGTTGCAAATCGATTGTATTTAGGGCAGCAAATTGAGAGCGAATGAGTTCCAAATGAAAAGGAAAATGCCGGCCTCAATTTGACAGGGTAAATATTGGATGGCTTCAATTAAGAAGTTATATGGATTCCTTGAAGAATCAGAGAATTTGATCAACAAATGCAGAAGAAGTGAGGAAGAAGGAGAGTCTTGATGTGTGAAGTGGCTCCTCGAGTGTATCGAAAGAGGGCGGAGGTCTCAACCACCTTACCGTTAGAGTGGTGATAGAATGTATGCTCTAGTATTTCACGGCCGTATTTGTTTCTTGTGTATGGCTGTTCGGATTTGGTATTGGTAATAAATATTTTTGAGTGTTTGATTAAACAATTTATATCGGTGTCAAACCGGTAATTAAGAGTTTTTTGAAGAAGTTAAACCGTTCTAACTTATAATAAGTTGATAAGTACTTCTGTAAAAAAAACATAAGTCTTTTCAAATACGTAATCTCAAACACCCCAAATTTTATAAAAGTCTTAAAACAACATTTAAAACATAAAATACAATCCATTAAAGCTAAAAGTCTTAAAACACATCATTTTAAACCATAATATATGGTTGATTAAAGCATACAATTTCAAAATCTCTTAATAACAAGTCAAGAAGCCAGATGCACCTCCTCATTTCTCCCACAAAACCCAATTTTCATTTCAGGTTAAACCGGAGAAAATGAAAATTATTTTTCATTTTTATAAACTTGCCCGAATCTAACACACCCTAAGGGTTTATATCACAATTTACCATCATTTGATATAACTCTAATATGGTTATTTCAATAGTCACAACCACTCGTCGTCATCGGCATCACATTACTGGCAGTCACAGTCAACCTCCATTACTATAACCTCATCCACCACCTCCACAACCACCGTCGGCCATTTCCACCATAACCACCACCCTATCACCGTCTACCATTACCACCGTCAACCACAACTTTTACCTTCAACACGCCAACCACAAACAACCTCATCCACCACTGCCAGTCACCAGAACCACCACTGTCAACCGTCTTCATGTTTTTTATAGTCACCAACGTATACCAACCATCACCACCATTGTTGCTACAGTAACCTCCCTCGCAACTCTTGTCTACCATCTTTACATCCTCAACAATCACCGTTATCCACCACCATCAACTGCCACTATCACCACCATTGCCCACCATCACTTCAACCTATACCAAATCAGTCAAACTACCTCATCTACCACTACCGACCATCACCACCATAGTCCACCACAGTCACCGACGTCCACAATCACCACTGCATCTATTACCACAACCATTGTCATTGCAATAGCCTCCACCAAGCCTCGGCCAATTCATAAGGATCTTCCAAACCGAATAAAAAAACAATTTCTTTATACGAACCAAATTTTTTCAAACTACCATCAATTATATAAAAAATTTCATTCAAATTTGATGCAATTACATATTTATGTATATGAAAATTGTATAAAATTGTTTATAAATAAAACTGTTTACCTGGATATTGTCGGCCTTTTACTGAGATGATTTTTTTAATTTCGTCATTTATTTTGGAACGCTTATTAATTTTGTAAGATTATGCGTTCTTTGTTGCCGTCAATGGCGTCTTGCAAACGATTTCGAGGTAATACGAAAACTGAATAACCTAAAACCATTTAACCTGAACCTCATTCGGTTCGGATGGGCAATTCAACGTTGGACTTCGTTTTTCTATACCCTTAGGCGCGTCCCCAATCATGTGATATCCTAGATCCACCACGATCCTCCAAATTCTAACGAAAACTCTCACACTCAACATATTCTTTTGAAACTCAAGGTTTTTTGGATGAACATTGGATCGAATCTGTTTGATAGCTTAACTAGTGACGGGTAATGGCCGGAGAAGGTGATGGCGGTGCTCGGTTGTGCTTTTCACCGGTGACTGGCCAAAGATCGAGAATGATCGATTGGCGATCTGGATTTCTATTCAAAATTTTAATAAAACCACAACAAAACTTGTAACTAGGTTTATTTACATGACTAGAAAAATTATTTGTTCAATTTATAACTATTATATGACTAGAAAAAAGAAACAGTATGTAAGGGGTAATCTGGTCATTATAACATCTCACACAAAGATCCAGTCCGTACCAAGCACAAGACAGACAATTGGTTGTGTTATGTCCTACCTACACACCAAACGCTACCAAAAACCTAAACGCAACTGCCCAAATTGATGATCAACCAACCTTACCAGTGCCGAATATAAGTTCAAAAAGCTGCAAAAATTATTGTGCATCAATCAACACATGAACAAATGCCTTCCTTACGACGATCACCAATTCACCATTGTAAACCCCAAAAGAGATGACGATCATCACACTAAAAACTGATTATCTGAATCGGTCAAAAAAACCACCACCAGAATCAGCCCAATGGTTGTATTCGAATACCAACCTAAACTTCACCATCTCTCCTCTCTTCGGGTGCTTGTCCACCAAATCAAGAATGTTCTCATCAGCACTTGGTACCATGGACCTGCAACCACCAACTAATTCTAGCATTCTCATTTCGAAAGAAAAAACCAAGGATGAATCGGGTCCGTTCTGTCACAGAATGGGGGGTACATGTTAGGTGCAGTCGAATGAAAGTGTTGGTCTAATGAATTTGTTTCCTACCCTTACATCTTATGCAGGGATGTTCCTGAAAAATGGATGATCAAGAGCTTGTCGGGCAGTGATACGCTCCGCAGGATCAAACTCCAATAACCCATAAAGCAGATCAACAATGGATGATCTTGAACATCCAACTGGAACATACTGTGATATCATATTCTGCATCATCAGAAGACGGAAAGTTAATCTGTATGGCCACATACATTGAGGTGTAACCCATTCCCAACATCTCCAGATCTTATGTCCCCTCTCCGTGGCATCATTATTTTATGTAATTCATCTTTCAACAAAGTGATGATGTGGCTTCACATGATTAGTGGCCGGGGAGGGGATATGAGATTTGGCTACAGCAGATTTTTATTCATCAGCAACTTCGAGGAACTTCTCCAGATAGACATAAATGACATCCATCATCGTTGATCACCCTCGATTTAAATTATATACATTGCAAATATGTAGTAGATAAGATCTAAATCAGAACAAAAACCATGAACTACATAAATGACAACCATGGATCTTTAGTTTTGACCCAGGAAGCTACAGAACATGAATCATATTTATTCCTTTGAAATATTTGGATTTTTTTTAAGTATATAATATTTTATATACGGGAAATGCAACAATAAACTTTGCATGACTGCCACTTATTTTAAAAAAGAAAAAGAAAATTCTTTATTTTGTTCCCCTACTGGAGTGATCAAGAATAACCTTCTGCATTTTGTACTTTGTCAGTCTGTTGGAATGATAATTGATGGTTATTCTTTATTGTGTTTTGTTAAAAGAATGCAACAATATACAATTTTTCCGCTTCCCTGGCTTGTTTTGTACTGTTATATATTTTAAAACATCACAAGTGTTTTTGAAATGGTTTAACATAGAAAGAAGAAAACCTTCAATCGATCTAGCTTCCTCACTGCTCTAATACTCTCCCTGGAGACTGCACCTTCAGGCCAGTTTAATCTTGATCGTCTGAAGTACTTTTCCGCACCCCGGCTGTGTTAATCAGTGGAAAGGAAAAAGTAATGATTTTTTTCTATCATCATGCATATACACTGAATGAACAAAAACAAAACAAGCAATAGCATCTCACGACCGTTTCAATGGTTTTTGTTTTTTCACTTGTGTATTAAAGAAAATTAAGACGGGGTTAAGAACAGTTCATGAAAGGGTTCAAATCAATTTTGCAATTTGTAATCAGTTCATAGAAATATGAATGTCGGTTACAAATTGCAAAATTGATTTGAACCCTTTCATGATTTACAAATTGCAAATTGGTATCATGAAGAAAAAGAAGCAAGATGATTCAACTTTGATGAGCTTGAGATATCAAACCCAATAGAACATATTTATTGTTTTTTAACTTACTTTTCCTACTAAATGCCTATCTACTTTGGTGTCCAACAAAAATTACAATAGTGTTTTGCATTACATAAAGTGTAAACAGAAAAGCTTAAGTTTCAACAAACTAGGTCTTACTTGGCTCTTCTGACCATATGCTCTGGCAAGGGTCCCAATACCCTCTCCATCATCGCTAAGTGTTCTAAGTTCTCATGAGTCTGGAACAAGGCTTCACCCTGAAAGATCACATCATCTTCAATAAGTACATGAAATGATATGTCATCACTTCATTGCATTGCACGTGACTTGAAACGGAGGAAGAAAAGAAGACGAACCGAGCATAATTCAACAAGTATACAACCAACACTCCACATATCACAAGGGTAACTCCATCCAAGGCCTGCGATAATAATAAAAATCCACTAATTAAAAGATTGAGAGGGAAAGTGAACAATGTCTTATACAAGAAGACCTCAATATATTCTAAATATTCTACAAGGGTTTAGAGATTAAGATTATAAAGATCAATATAATGACATGCCATCATATGGCATTTACAAGAGAGACCACTATAAGAAGCCAAGTGGCAATTTGTAAGGAGGTCACACGAAAAGATTATAAAGGAAACACTGAATGGTGCATGATGCAGAATAAATGCTCATTGCAGTTAATACACAGGACCAAAAGTGAATTCTTTATCTGGGAAATACTATCAAAAGGAACAAATGAAAGAAACCCTTAAACAATTTAGTCAGCAAATATTCCATTACAACGCTACCAAAGTGGATATCCATCACAAAGGTCACTTATTATGAGATCCTTTCAGTAAATGAAAAGAACGACGGTAAAATTGGGATTATAAGTATGTCATATTCCAGAATAGATGAAGGAAAAAAGATAAAGAGTTATATCTCTATCTGCCACAGGCATATCTAGAAATTTGTGTGCAGAACTGATTTATCTCATTTTATCTTGTATTTAAACGAACGACAAATTCTACACCTTAGGACATGTTTTTTTTTCTGGACTCATAATTTCATTTGGTCTCATTTTCAGTGAATTTAAGCATCAAAACTAGCTGGATTTCTTCTCAGACGACCCAATAAACCACACCCAAAGAAGTGAAACTTTTACCACCACCCATTCAATCAGATATCCAGGCAACAACCAAGTATGAGATTTGAAATCTAGACATCTAGATATCTTCCCACTGGTGATAGTGATGTCATCTGAAACTTACTGAAGGATGGTCACACTCCTTACACTTCCTAAAACATTTTCAATTCACCCAACCACGTTGCAGGGTTCCACTTTTTGTTGAGACAACTTGCCACCTCATGTGCATATAAACAAAATCACATCTCTGCTGGCCAACAATAACTAGTTACCTAGAATAACTTCAGGTGCTCGGTAGTGTCTTGTAGAAACAATGGAGCTATGATTTTGATTATCATAAGCAGTACTGCCAAAATCAATCAGCTTAATTTCACTTGACTTTGGCAAGCACCTGAAATGCGTTTCACCCTGTGAAGCCCTCTGCAACATTTCAAAAAATTACTTAAGAAATTGAACCGACTCACCAACAACAAAATGGCCCAACCTCAAAAGGTCATCTACCTTGTAGCCAGGAAGCTTTAAATATTCAGGAGATACAAGAAGTATATTTTCCGGCTTCAGGTCAGTATGGATTAAGCATAAACTATGCATATCTGCCAAGTATGATACATAACGAAAATGTTACCCAAAAAGAATGTAATAATCCTTTGTTACACCCATTGATGACAAAAAAGACGATATATTTTATTGTCTAGCTGGTTGGAATAGAAAAATAAGGGATAAGAGATACAGTAAGACCAAGAATAATCTACACACATGCTACAGATTCCAAAAGCTGACGTCCAATTTCCCGAACAAGATCCACGGGGAATGGGCAGTATTTATTTCTCTTTAGATAATCAAATAAACTTGGTCCAAGCTTCTCAAACACCTGATCACCAGTGAAATGCATTCAAAGGAGGTTTCATGTTCAGTGACTATGAATGAAGTTCATATGGAGAGAACAATCTTAACTAGCAATCAGCCTCTGTAAATTTATATTCTAACAAGAATCACATATACACGAAGCACCTTATCAACAAACAGTGAATGATGAAATAGAGGAAACAAAAAAGTTCAATACGGGATAAGCAGACCATGTAGGGAACTACGTAAAATTGCATATGAACAAAGGTTAGTTGACTGAAGAAACACCAGAACCAAGTCATCAACAGACTTACTATGCATATATGATTGCGATAATCAAACCAGTTCAGGATCTGCACACAGCTGCACAAATAATTGAAAGGAGAAATTAGACCATATCATCCATGAACTATGAAACCTAACACAAAGGTGAAAGAAACATACTGTGATCTGCCTTTATCATTCTTAGCAAGTTGTTGAAGTACATCAACTTCAATCATTGCTGCATCACGATATTTTCTTATGCTTCGGATTACCTTGATTGCTACATATTCGCGGGTTTGACGATCCCAACATTCCAAAACTCGACCAAATGTGCCTACAGCACTAGCAATTTGCTGATACCCACAAAAGAAGAGTTAAAAATATAAGATTTTGCAGACAGCAGACACTTTACTGCTAACCTTCACCCATCTTGCTCAGTATTTTATCTGGATGAGATCAAAGAAAATTTAATGATCAGTTGCTGGGTTAGGTAAAGATGACAAAAGGTCAGGATAAGTCATGCCAAAATTGTATCGACAAACCAAAACAAAAATAATAATAGACCTCTTGAGAAAAGACATACAACTGCAAAAAAAGCTACTAACTTTCACGTCCTATGCGATCAAATAAACAACATAGAAAGAAAAGTTGGTGGTGATGTAAAAGGTTTATTTGTTCCAACAAAATAATTCCCTAAAATTTCCAAATAATGAAGCAGCATATCACTGCCAGTGAATCACTTGGAGGTGCAAAAGATGGCTTAGGCCCATGCTGAGATTTCCATATATTAGAGCATATGAGGTGAAGAGTTCAAGAAATTAATGGCATACAATAAGAAGAAAAGCAACCACTGGTTTGTTGAACTCTTCCCTTCACATGTTGAAGGTGCAATTTGTGCCATAATTATAGTCTTTATTTTGTTTTGATATACTCAATCTTATTATGTATTATGTATATACATATTTGTGCTCCCTTCTGTATTTATATTTACCGTATCAGCTTTTGAATACAATAATGTTTCCTCCGGGCAAAAACTTAGTTCAAAAGTTTGAATCTGAAATGACATAATTAGCAGCACAATAGCAAACAAGATCTACAAATTCAATACAACAGAACTCTATATCAATCATGCACATGAAAAGAGCCAGGTATGATGTTAAAAACATTTAAAGAACCGAAATAGTACGGTTTTTTTGTTGTTGTTATGTTGTATCAAGATTCTAAAGTACGGAAACACGAGGTTAGGCGTTTTATAATTGAATTTATTTTTCGTTTGATTTGTAATTCTTCTTTTCATAATTCAATTTATTTTCATTTTAGCTTTTTCGTAATTCACTTTTGTACCTTGAACATGTCCAGTGTTCATTTGTTTCAACTCTTTAGACTTATATGAAGCCTATCTATAGGTCTAGAGGTTATCGTGTACAGATTCTAGTACTTTTTATGTTGTAAATAACATACTTTGTGGTTCTTTACCCAAAAAGAGTATACTTTCTTGTAACCAGCGATTTGAAATCCTTCACCATGAGGCTAATAGAAAATTATGCCAGCAGAGTTGATATACATGAACCACTATATTATATCTTCCCTGATTAAACGTGAACTGATGAAAGATGCAGAACACCAAGTGGAATAGAAAGATGTTTAAACTGTGACTATCATCCAAAAAAACAAACCATCCTTGTATACAAATTATATTGTTAAGGCTTCAAGGCTTGCATGGCAGAAACGTTTGATACAAAAACATACACAAATCCAATTTTCAGCAAAGACATGAAAAATCGAGTTGATACCAACACAAACAGATTGAAGGACAAAAGAAAACTCACATCTAGGAGTTAGATTCTCCCCAAGACTGTATGTGTAATGCCCCTCACGATCATCCTCTCTTTTTGGCGGCGAGATGTGGCGACATAACACAGGCTGCCGTAGTTCAGCCTACAAAGAAAATCCCATCATGAACCAAGAAAACCTAACCCTGATGTTTCCCAACGCCATCAAGTGAATCTCAGAAACCAACCTCTTGTTGTTCTGCTGGTGATGCTGCCACATCCCATGTAAGACGTCGTCGTTTCCTGGTGTGATGCTGCTCCTTCTCTTCAGCCATTACAACTCCTGAAGAATCTATTGGAACCATTCAAACACCTAAAGACAAATCGCCCTCTGCAACCAAAAACATATGAATTTTTGCAACACAATAGTTCGAATCGAATTATAATATCAAAGACTTTCTTCCAGTAGTTGGAAAATTTTCAGATTTAGTGCTTGTAGCGAAAAACGACGAAGAAAGAACTAGGGATTTTGAAGGGATAGTCGTGCACTGCGCGCTTCGTTACACGTACTTATATAACGTAACCAGGTCGGATCCGGTTCGGGCCAGGCAGAACCGACAAATATACATCTTTTTGTTGAGACGACATCCGGGTAGGTACAAGGACCTTCATCGGGTAATCGAGGATTTTCCTCATCTGTACAATTTAATTTTTTACGTAATGTTTTTACATATTTATGTATATAAATGTCAATTTTACGTTTAAACGATATATAATATCAAAAATAATAATTACTTGGACTTTAATTGTTACATTTTTATAAGGATAATATAAAAAGACATATAATGTTCAGATACAAATATATCAATTACAATACATAATAATAAAAGTTTTACATAATCACGTTGTTACATCAACAAAAATATCTCATGAAGGATATCCCTATCCTCGGTTTATAAATTCGGAGAATCGAGTGTTCTCCGTGGGGCTTTTGCTATCCCTAATCTTTTGACCTCAAGTTACGGAAATCCCCCTCGGCTTCTTACAATTTGCATTGCTACCTTCTTCAAAAATTTAGAATAAATTATGTTTTCCATCCTTGTAGTTTGTGAAACTTGCAACTTTCATCCTTGTTTCTAAGAAATTATGGTTTTCGTCATTGTGGTTTGTTATTGCTATGGATTTCCGTCCTTCTAACTCTATTAAAAATACCCTTTAAGTGAGAGGCATTTTGAGCTTTTTATCTATTTTTGTTTTCCTTATTTTTTTATTGAATTATATATATATACTATATTGTAAAGCATTTGACAAAAAAAACTTTTAAGACCATTTTTTATGCATTAAATATTGTTTATTGATGCATATTACTTAAATTCAAAATTATAAGTAAATTATGTTTATGTACAACTTATTAAAATTTCATATTCGAATTCGTGTAATTAACCGTAGATAAACATAATCAAATATTGGATAGGTATTTGTTGGTCTTATACGAATCTACAAAAGTTTAGAGGTAACAATTTGTATAAGGGGAGAGATGAATATAAACACAACAGTTTTCACTTTTGAAAAAAAAAATTATTGATAAAGAGGATCGATACGTAATTTACAGACTGTTTGCGAAATAAGATAAAATACAAAACTTATCTAAAACAATTTAGAGAACACATAAGATACAGAAAAGCAAGAAATGAAAGACTTGTTAAAGGAAGAAACAAAAACTTCGCTAAAGAAAGAGCTTAGTTGGTGTTTTTCACTTAAAGTAAAGATAACTTCAAGAGGTTAAGAAGTTTGTGCTTGTGAATAAGTCTCTTTTTGGGTAGAAAGTTGATCTTCAATAAGTAATCTTCTTGGCTTGGTGTTTATTTGAGAAGGATGAATTTCTCGGCTATTTATACTCATTGAATTAAATGCAAGTCATGCAGTACAATGCACGTGGCAAGCTTCTAGAGGTAAGTTTGTCATTTGTCTTCAGATATACATGTTTTTGCCGTATTTGAATAGTAGTCTTTCACAAATTAGGTATGCATGTTTGGAGATAATAGATTGACTCTGTACGAGTGCTTTAATTTGAGAGATATGGGTTTATTCTCTGTGTGTAAGATGATAAGACAAAAACTAATCTTGTTCAACAAGATTTATTTGATCGCTGACACCTGAATAACACTAGGGTTTCTTTCAGTGTATGTTGAATCTTGAGTAGATTTCACACATTTGTAGATAGACTTGTTATCACTGAAACCGCATCATATCATGAACTGCTTGTTTATGTCTTCAGTTTTATCTTCGATATCACTGAAGGTTCTTGAGGTGTGAGTTTTGTCTTATTGAAAAATACTTGTCTCTGAGAGATATAATACTTGTTAAGCGATCACTGAACAAAAAATCAGTGATGATCACTGAAACTGAATAAAGATAAAGTACTATTCGTAAGATAAAAAAAGGATCATCATCAAATCACTGAGAGAGTAACAACTATATTTAAGATAATCATTGAATTCTATCAAAATACTAATATTATCTTTATAAAAAATTGTATTATTAAACCAAAAATAAGTGAATTCATTACTAAATATAAATCAAATTATAAGTAAAAAAAATCGAATTGAAGAAATTTCATAAAAAACAATAACTTTTAAATATTTAATTTGATAAATAAAATGATACATTTTTTTTTCAAAATTTTATGATACCTTCAAATTTATATTTTCTTCAAAAATAAAAACATTATCGTTTTTCCAGTGGCACATACATCGATTAAGACAAAATAAAACAAAACATTAAAATTGATATGTATATTGGAAAATTTTTCTAACCACAATTGCAGTTTAGTTTATGGTTTGGGGGTAAAACCTCTCAAACCGAACCACGAACACTTGTAGATGGAGTATGTCGGAGATGGGGACCGAACTGAGGGGAAAGGTACAGGATGAAAATGCGTTTGTATTTAGTTCAAAATCATATTGGTAGCAAATGGGGAGATCAAGATCGAGTAGGTTTGACTATCCTAATCAAACTGAATTTCATTGTACTAAATCATTTAAGAATCATGATCAACTTCTCGGTTTTTGAAACCGGGATTTCAAATCAATCTGAAGATTAGATATTGCCGACTTCTAAGCTTCGAGAAGAACATTTCTCCCATACATCAACCTGCAACCCTATTTGCATTACTAAGAAAACAATATTTAAATATTACTAGAAGAGTACTCGTGCAATGCAGCGAGACACATCTCGATTTTAATGTTCTAGTTTATTATTTGTCTCTGCCGATATTATAATACGATTTTATGTTTTTTTTAGAAAGCATTAATGATTTTATTTTTGAATAAAATACAAATTTGAAGATATAATAAAAATTTGAAAAAAAATATATTCATGTTAATATCAAATCAACTATTTAAAAGTTCTCATTTTTATGTAATTTCTTTAATTTTTTTATTATAATTTTTTTTAAGTTTAATAACGGAATAATTTATTTTTGGTTTATAATATAACTTTTTATACAAATAATAATTAAGTATTCTGTTAGAACTCAATGATTATCCTAATTATATTTTAGATTTTGTATATTTAAAATGAGATGTTTATTTGTATTTGATTATGTTTATTTACAGTTAGTTACACGAATTCATATATGAAGCTTTAATAAGTTGCACTTACGCACATTCTACTTGTAATATTGAGTTTTAAGTAATATGCATTAATAAACAGTACTTTACGCATAAAAATGGTTTTTAAGAGTTTTTGTCAAGTGCTTTATAATATAGTATTGGTTATGTGTTTTTAAGAAAACAATAATGATTTTATTTTTGAATAAAATATAAATTTGAAAAAAAATATCAATGTTAATATCAAATCAACTATTTAAAAGTTTTCATTTTTATGTAATTTCTTTAATTTATTTTTTTATTATAATTTAATTTAAGTTTAATAATGAAAT